AAATTTCTCTTTCGGTCTTGCATCTAATATTGCTGATTACATTTGAAAATATGGAAGGAGATCTTTGCGTGTGATTCTTAGAGAGAAAAAACCTTATTTATTTGGATTTTCAATTTTATATGTGTTTGGCTAGTTTTGGTAAGTGTATGATTAATGGCTAGAGGTTGGTAAGTTAGGACTTATTTGGGACATTTACGTAAGATTCTCTTTTTAAAATTACTGAATGAAGAATTATTTTGGAAAAATTGCATGTGCTAGAATTTCAAAGTACGTCGGACAGAATTTTCATCTATCGCCAAAATTTTGAAGTATCAGGAATTCTGGCGATCGCTTAAAAATTCTGGTTATCTATCAATATTTGTAACAAAATTCTAACAATTACCATAATTGTTACGTGCTTTAAAATTTTGTTCAATATACTTTAATATTTTGATATGAGCTTTTTTCTCAAAACTTCGGTCACTGAATTTGTGTCATTTGCCCAAACGAATGAAAGTAAAATTAAAAATAAAAAATAAAAAAGGGCCAAAAACACCCTTACCGTTTGGTAAATGATTTACTTCAAAGCCATGTCCATCTTTTGGTCCAAAAATACACTCGACATTATCTTTCGGACTAAAAATACCCTACTGACTAACGAAAATTTGTGTGGTCCCTTTTTTAATGTTTTGAGAGCACGTAATTGGGACATGGGGCTCCCTTGTCAAGATTAAATTTAACCCGCTCCAAATTTAAAACCGCCTCAGTTTATTGGATCAACCCACTGAAGTTTATCAATCTTTAACCCTAGATCATATCCCTTTCTCCTCTATTTCCATCCAAAAAAAAAAAAAATTAATGGCTGAAGTTTTTCAAGCGGAGCTCCAAATTCTTGTTCCAACCAAACTCCATATCAAGGTTCAGCAATTAATTCCCAGCAACATCCAATCAATTTTGAGAACGAATTTCAGATTTGAAAGCTTTTTCAAACGAAACTCCAAGAGGTTCTTCAATAGTGGACTGTTTTTCTCCAAGTTTTTCGTTGAACAAGACAATGGGTATTCACAAATAGTCTCCAAATCAATAGCAAACCAGTAGAATTTCAACAAAGAACTTTTCGAAGACCCATTTGGAGTGAAATTTTATTTTGATATGCAAATTTGTCACTTGTTATTGGAATCAGCTGGTTAATGTACTTTGAGCCTAAATACATTTATGCAAACTGATTTGAGAATGAGAACCTTGAAGAACGAGTTGTAATTCCATTAAAACTCTTTTGAAACATTGGTTCGAAATTGGGATTTTGTTTTTGAAATTGTAACTTATTTTGAATGTGTGGTATTAGATTTGGTTGGGGACATTAATAAGAGCTTAAATCTGAAATTTGAGGGAGTTTTGGAATAGATTTGAGATGGATTTGGGTGAATTTTCAAAGCAAATTCGAAGATTGAAGAACAATTTCAATCCAAAAAATTGAGGCGGGTAGAAATCAATCCAGTTTGGGGAGCCACGTGGCCTAATTACGTGCTGCCAACATATAAAAAATGGACCACAAAAATTTTCGTTAGTCGCGGGGATTTTTTTAATCCGAAAGATAACGACGAGTGTATTTTTGGAGTCGCGGGGATTTTTTAATCCAAAAGATAACGTTGAGTGTATTTTGGGACCAAAAATTGGACGGAGCGTTGAAGTAAACCATTTATCAAACGATAGAGATATTTTTAGCCATTTTTCAAAAAAAGAGAAAAAAATAAAGTAGATTTTAGAGCAATTTTCAGAAACCACTATTGTTTAGTGGTTATTAACTTCCTATAGCTACCATATGCATAATTACTTCTTATAGCTACTATTCAGTTGTTACGCGGTTGTATTTGTTGTATTCGCGCTGCTATATTCATGAATACAATAACGGAAATCGCCTAAAAAATAAGGGAATCCAACTGTTTAATAACGGAAAGAGGATCAATTAGCGTGTATCACTCCTAGTTAGGGCTGCTTATCGGACGGATTGGGTGGTTAACTACTCTTAACGGTTTGGCTTAACGGTTATCAGCTTTTAAATGTATTAATCCGCTAGCCACCCGATAAGATATCGGGCGGATTGGTATCGGTTTAGCTCTTATCGGGCGGTTATGGGGAGGTTTATCGGCCTAATGCAATCTATATTGCGTGCATTAATTATTTGTTGACCGCCTAGCATACAAATTCAGAATAGAAAATTACACATTGAGTCTAGACATACATGTCTGTTAACGCCTACATAAGAATGATGTAGTGTGTCATGTGTTGTAGAGTGAAAAAAACAGAACACATTGTAGGCTACATTACATCCCAAAGCAGACTACATATGAGTCCAGATATACATGTATGTTAACGCCTACCATTAAATCCCAAAGCAGACTACATTACATGAGTCCAAACATACATATGTCGTCAATATTGTGGGATAAAAGTTGTGGCACAACACTACTGTTCTTCTATTAAACATAGACAACATGCATTAGTTTAAAAAAATAAAAGCAGAGGTGAACCATAGATAGCAGCTTAAACAATCTTGTTGTAGGGTGAGAGAATAAGCTAAGCTAATAGCTGGAAGAAGTGGAAGGGTTTTTNCAATAAGCCATTAAGCTTCGGTTTCGGTTCGATTTTCGGTTTCGGTTCGGTTTTGAACACCCCTACTCCTAGTTTAGCTTAACAAAATCAATTCTAAAAAAATTTCGCTGCTATTGTGCTGTATTCCATATATTCGCGTGACCGTATTTATAAATACATTGAGGTAATCAAGAAATAAGGTGTATACCGTTCTATTCAATTCAACCGTATACATTGTATTCAATTCACAGATATTCATTATTCACTATTATACATTGTATTCAATTCACCGTATTCAATTCGACTATATTCAAACAACAAAAAATAACAAAATACAGTGATATTCAGTTGTATTAAAAAAATACAGACCTTCGGAATACATAAATACAACTGAATAAATAATATATTTATACAAAAATATAGTGTATTTGAGTGTATTTGTACAGAATATAATGTATTTGTATCATTATATATGACTAAAAAGCAAAGAAGAGTAGAAAGTGGAGCCGGCGAAATCCAAATCGAAGTTATGGCTTTCGAGGAAGAAAAGGGCTTCGGGTTTGGAAGCAGAAGTGATTTCACAGAATGTGTTGACGAGTGCTTTTTTTATGGATCGGCGGTGAGGTTTGCTTGATTTTCCATCTTTTTCTGTTGTTGCTTCTTCGTCTTTCTCTCCTTCTGCTTCTATTAGGAGTACTAGTATGTATTACTTCTCCTTTTTCTCAAGAGGCAGAGTTTGGTATATATTCGTTTCTTCAGTCGAAGTTGGAGGTTTATGACTATGGCCAGATTTGAGGGATAAGAGAGAGGATTGAGAATCTTGCTGATAGAGAGAAGGAAGAGAGATAATGAACGTATTTCACGCTTCAATGGTAGGGTATAAAATAAATATCTATTTTTTTGCTACAAAATAGAAAAATATAGCTATAAATAATAATATTTTAAAATTATTTTGATTTATAATATATTTTGTGTAATAGTTTGATATAAGAGGTAAAATTTTCTAGATTTTAATTAGTGGGTCGTGGCCCATGATAGTTGCAGGGACAGTTTTGTCATTATATAGGTTAGTGATTGTCGGGAATCTTACATGCAAACGTGCCAGGTGCTGAATATATTCATAAAATTCAGTATACGACATTATTATAACATCAATGTGGTGAAAATTAATAATAATCGTGTCATGTCCATAACAAATCAAACGGTAGCAATTAGATTATCACTTTAAGAGTGGATAATATTTGTATACATAATTGTAGACGTAGATTCGGAACGTAAATGTGATCCTTTTGTGGGAGCTATTGCTAACCATCGGAGTAATCGCCGGTGAATATTGAAATTTGAGTACTTATATAAAAGCTCCGTGTGAAAATATTAAATTTTGTTGAGCTTGTACCTTATTATTTATATCCACCACCGTAAAGATTAATGCCTATCATTATAAAGTATAAACTTCAGATTTAACTAAAAAAATTCGTTAATGTGGTAGAGCTTCCTTTAGATCCCAAATACAAACATGTTGTTGCACGCCGATAATTATGTTTTCTCTTCGTTTGTTGACACAATTATTATGAATATTGCTCCAACATAATTTGTTTAGCAGAGTATTCATTGCAAAGTCTACAAGTTGGAGTTAATTTTAGTTGATAATGATTATATGACAGGTGAAGGGGAAAAAACAAACAAAGAGGAAAAACATAGTTGAATCACTAATCTCTCCGTTTATTTATGTAGGAATTTGAATTTTATTGCCTTCGTTGAACGTCTTATTCAAAAAATTAAATAAGTAGTCCGTATATTGAGATCATATTTATTGCCATGTTCCAGAATTTTTGGACCCGTTTCTTGGAATTGACTTTTCGAAAATGTAGAATATAGCATTAAAGGGTAAATACCAAGTGGAGATGAGTGGGCCATTCTCTATTTTCAGTTTATATAACTTTTTGGAGGTTATATTTATTGTAATCTTTTTCATGAAAGTGTATTATATTTAAGACGACAGGCGAGTAAATTAAGACATTCATTTTTAACTGTTCTTTACTTGTCATTTATTTTTGATGAAATTGTATTTTATTTTTTGTTGGGTGTCCTCAAAGAACTATGTAGTATGTACACTTCTTATACTAGTAAATTTTATACAAAGTCACAATTTCTCAAAATACTAGAAAGTACACGAATTTAAGTAAACGAATACCATCATTTGTAACAAATTGAGGGTTTGATTATTAGTAAAGGATATAAGGAAAAAGCACACTGTTAGAAACATCACAGAATCCAAAAGGCCATTCAATTGAACAAGTTATATATTAACTCACAGAGAACTAATTGACAACGTAAACAAATATAAAATGAAAAAAAGGGAATAGAGTTTAAATTTTGTGCACCAATAATATATAAATTTCTTGCACCTCAGATAAAGTTGTCCTTTCATAGCTTCATATGGTAAATTGAGAAAAATAGAATATATAGCAACTTGCTATATCCAATTAAATTGGATTAATAGTATAAAAAAACTTGATCTAAGTTTCGTAGGCTCACACTATAAATTTTAACATGAACTTATTCATAACAAACATGATCAAATAACTTGTTTACCTAATGATATATTCTAATTAAAAGTTCTCTACACTACCTTAGTACTCTCTCTGTTCACTTTTACTTGGCACGTTTTGACTTTTTACGCCCATTAAAAAATAATAAATGAAGTGCATAATTTACCATGATACCCATATTAATTGATGCATATTTTATTGGATTTGAGAAAATGATTTGAAATGAGTAATAAATACTGTGGGTATAACATAAAATTTTTTTTTTATCTTCTTTTGATATACGTAAATTGACAAGTAAAAATAAAAATGTATTTTTAGTATACATGCCAAATAAAAGTGAGCGGAGAGAGTATATAACAAAACCCAAATATATATATATATATATATATATATATATATATATATATATATATATCTGTGCAGNTTGATTTACCTCATTTCCAGTTGGCTTTGAACCAGCAATCTCGTTCTTTCAAGCCTCATTCAACTTCTTCTGATTTCCTTCAACAACACCAACAACCTTCTTTCCTCAAAGGTAGTAACTTTTAACAAAATTATGGTTCTTTCTCAAGTATTTCTTTTAATGAGGTTATGTGGGAGTTTGACTAATTTTAGCTTGTTGATAAAAATGCAGGACTTGAAGCACCTAGAAACAGCTTGGATTTAGAAGAGCTTGTTGTGGAACGGAAATCTCTGTCAAGTTCATTGTCTTCTTCAACCATGAAAATAGACGACCAAAATTTGAATATCCCGGTCAGTATAATTGTAACCGTTACCTTCATTATCTTGTCATTAATATTTTAATAAGCATTTCATTTCCCAAAGTCTTAACGATAGACTTATTTTTTTAAGGTTGGTTGTGGGAGGTCTGGGGTGTTAATGTTTAATGTTTTTTGAAAGTTGAATATTGTGATAATTATGATGCTGTTTGAACATTTAATTATTTTGTTGTGAATTAATTTTGGTCTACGTAAAATATTTCAGGTGGGAATTCAAATCAGAACAAGCTGTGATTCCAGATCATCAAGAGTGTCAACGTCAACCTCAAGAACAAGGACAGATGATATTTCATCAGAATGTAGCAGCACTTCCCCAGCGGGGACCAAGACCCCAACTCTAGTAGCTAGACTTATGGGCCTTGATCTTCTCCCTGAAAATAACTCCCCTCGTATTTCACTTTCCACTTGCAATAATCCTTCACCAAAGTTCAAGAACGTGGTTAATAATCAGAGCTACGGCGGCCAGTCAAACAGCAAAAACAAAAGATTGAGCAACTTTGAAAATAGTGATAATGGTACTCTGTCACTTCCAGAGACGCCAAGAATATCTTCAGCTAGCAGGAGGTCAGATGTGGATCATTATCATCACAGGTTATCACTTCAAATCAACAAAGAGAATAACATGGGTGACGTATTTGAACATTCGGCTTATTCTACTGCTAGCAGAAATATGGCCAGGAATAGGAGGATGAGCAGCTATGAAAATAATGAAAATTACAACAGAAGTCCAGGGTATTATGCTAGATAGATTGTGAAGCAAGTAAAAGAAAGTGTAAGCAGGAAAGTTGGTCATGATATTACTAACACAAGTTTCAGAAGGAAAGATGACCAATTAGCCACTGCTAAATATGCTGATCAAGTTGTCTTGCTTAAACCAAAGAAACAAACATCTAAGGTTTTGGCCAAATTACATGGAGATGATCATGATTTTAGCCCAAGCAAGCAAACAACTCCTTCTTGCTCACCTAGGTTCAGATTCTTGGAGGCCAAGAGTACTAAACCAGTCAACTCATCCACGGCAAAAAGTCAAACTTCTCATTCTCCTAGATTTTCACCATTATCTCCACTTCCTGAGAACCCCACCACATTACCAGCTAAAACAGTCACAAAACCCAAGCCACAAAGTTCACAACAAGAGCAAGTGAAACAGAACCACCATTTACAGCAGAATGCTATTCAAAAGGGAAAAGGTGACAAATGCAGTCGTGCACTTCCTAAGAAGCCACCGCAAGCTTGTGATGCCATTCGGAGCAAGAAAGAAGAGCCATTTGTTCGTTCAGCAGCAGCAGCAACAAATAAAGACAAGAAGTGCAAGAAAACTCCATTGTCAAATCAACTTGTTAACAACAGCGTTCCCACCATTTTGCCCTTTAAGAAAGACCCTTCTCCTCCACCCACCAAATTACTCATTAAGCAGGTAATACAAATGTTCTTACTATACTTTTACTATTTGAAAGTCAAAGATATTCTTCCCAATGACCACAATTTTTTCAAATATTTTTACATATTTTAATTAAATTATTAATTATGGTTACTTGTAACATTTTTGAATCAGCTTTTTAATTAACATTAAAATTAAATTGTTTGACTCATATATCTTCATCCCTGCCATATAAAATAAAACAGGGGAATAACTATTTTTTAAATATAAATTTCAAACTTAATAGGATTAATTAAATCTTGTAATTTTCAAACATGAGTAAAATTTTCTCATGACATTTTGTGCATTATTTTTTTGTATGTGTTGACAGTCACAGCAGCAGGAATCAGATATTCATCCATCGAAAAGGAACACACAGTTATCTAGTAGTTCGAGCCATTCGTACAAGCATTATAACCTCACCGCGAAATTCCAAGAAATGAACCGCGACACATGTAACGGTGCTACCATTTCCGGTGATGGAGCCGAATTTCAGTACATTCAGAGAATACTAAAACGTACGGGTATCGACAAAAGTACTCCCCTGTCGTTAGCCAAATGGTACTCTGATTCTCACCCTCTTGACCCCTCCATTTTTCACCACTTCGAACTTTTTCACCTCCCCATTTTCACTACCCCGAATTCTACTTTAACCTTGAGGTGTAACAGAAAGTTAATTTTCCAACTAGTGGACGAGCTCCTAGTTGAAATCTTGAAACCATATTTTAGTTTCAAGTCAAGGCAACGTTGTCAAATGAATGGAAAGGAATTGATTGACACTCTGTGCATGAGAATACGAAGCTTCCCTTCAGCTAATTGTCAAGTTCTTGAAGATATTGATTGACAAAGATTTGCAAAAAACAGAGCTTGGAATATCAAGTGATCCATTTCAAGAACAAGTGGAAAGCATAGTAAGTGAAATTGAACGTGACATTATAGAAGAACTAATGCATGAAACGGCGTACAAAGTAACGGTGTGAGGAGAAAAAAGGAGAAAAGGGGTAAAGAGAACAAGGTCTGACGAAGGTCACATGGGAGATACACGTGACGAGATGCCATTCGTTTAAGGTTATGGGACCAATTAACTTTCTCAAAGGTTGGACTGCTTGTACCTTGGAAAGGGCAAACAAAACTGGGTGTTAGAGGGGTACACATGGGGTCGTAAAAGTGATACGTATACTAGTTGCTTTTTTTTACTGTATGTAATTAATTACTACTAGTATATCTGAATAAACAATTCATATTAATTAAGTTTGCTTTCTTTTAATCTTTTTGGGGTTAGTCCCATGCATGTTCTCAATTAAATTCCTGTTATCAAACGGATATATATTATTATAGATCTTGAATAATTTTCTTATTCTTTGGGGTGATGCTTAGACTAAGTCAAGTCAAATCCCTTTGAAAGTGTTCCAAAAAATAGCTTATTAGTAGGTTAAATATTTGCTTCTTTAAATTTCCGCAGACCTTTTAGAGACTAAGATCAGTCTCATGCTGTAATAATAACTCTCCTTAATTCCTGTCTTCAATAATTAAAAGTCCTTCGTTCTAGCAAAAAAAAGGTGAAATATTTCAATTCAAAATGTAGTATCAAATGTTGATGTTCAAATTCCAATGACTTATAGCAACTCTAATCAATTGCATATTATTCGTTACGTTATTCCTTTTTCAAGTATACGCGAAAGAAAATTCTCTTTCAAATTTAGCATATCATTTTTCTTTTCAAATTTAGCATATCATTTTTCGTTAAAAGAAAAGGATTATGTTGAGATTATAAGTAGATCGATCATAATCAGCTCTAAAAGGTAAAACTTTCATACAAAACAGAAAAAACAAAAAGAAAGAGACAAATTCCATGTTGCGCTAAACATATGCAAGTGATATATTGGACCATTTATGAATCAAGTTGATATTTATTGTAGTGAACAAGATTAAAACTGTAAAATCCTAGAGGTAAAAAAAAAGTGTCTCATTCTCATTACGAGTTGCATGGTGGGATGTGTAGTACAATAGAATTGGAAGGATTTGAAGACAAAATAACAAGACAAGGAATAAAAGGTTATGTCATTACTTTTAGTAAAGCGACTCAGTTATACATCAGAAAGAGGCATCAAATCATAAATCATTACAATATGATTCCTAGGGTTCTTTATGAAAAGATGAGCTTAAAGTTTGTCATAATAACACAACAATTAAGCTAGTAAGAACGAGCTCATTATATAATACAAGCTGTATTAAGATTCTGTTTCAAAAAGAAAAAAGGTACAAAAGAAGGACAAGAAAACAAAAGCACGGTTCCAAAATCTTCTACTCAAAGTTCAGCTGATTAACCCCTCAAATGAAGAAAAAATAAAAGAAGCATCAATTCACCGTTAACAACGCACACGCAAGTGTATGTGATGGACAAGTAACATAGCATTGTAATTCAAGATATCGTACCCATAAGGACTTGTGATTAACTATTTATTAAATTAAACTAAGACAATTAATCTTTTCAAGCGATTTTCTAAAGTATGAATATTTAACTAAAAGTAATCTAGAGTAGTAAACTAAGAGATTAAAAGAAACAAGTTGGCGAAATTAGACACGAATTAAATGGGAGCCGATATTCTAGAGTTATGGGTTAGCTAACAATTCCGTTGAGTCTTCTACTTAAATTGTCTAATTAATTTATCTGGTTTATTAATTGATAGGGTTAATATTACTCGTAGTATTCTCCCGAAGTACTACTCGTCTATTCAAGCTAACCTAATGCCTATATTACTATGAAATTAGGATTAACAAGAACATATTAAAAATACCCGTATAATAACCAAGCAAGACGATTAGGTATATCCCTATCCTAACTGCAAATCTGTTCCCTATAATTCAAGTTCAAGATCTCGCTCTACTCAATCTTATATGCAATCTAGAATTCCCTCTCCTGCAGGGGCGGGTGCACTCTTAGTGAAGCGGTGTCACGCGACACCACTTTGTCAAATTGTTTTACTAAATATATGTATTAATATTGTAAGAAAATGAATAAGTAGGAAAAATGACAACAATTGACATAAATTGTCTTTTGATGCGTCGGTTATGTGCTTGATTTTGCTTTAGAAGATCAGAGATTCGAACCTCAACTAGCACATTTTTTTGCAAATATATGAAAGAGTCCGCAAGATTAAAAATTGTGATGAAATAGAATTGAACCCAGGACCTTTTCTAACTTTAAACTCAGCAAAACCAATAGACTAAGAATATTTCTTGTCTAGAAATATGATAATTGAAGTTATTATTCATGTACTTCTATAAATTTTGACACCGCTTATAAAAATTCCTGCGTACGCCCCTGCTCTCTCGAGTTCAATCCTAGATTCGTAGATAGTATTTAATTAGTGATCAAGCAATCAAATAATTAAGCGCAAGCTTGAATAAATAAACCAATAAGATAAAATAATAAGAACAATTCAAGATTCAAGCTACAACGTTCATGTAACACCCACTACTCTAGAACTAATAAACTATGAGATTAAAGAAAGAGAAGAGAAGAAAAACTAGTTGAAAGCCTCCTCCAAGTGTGATTTGTGTTCTCTCACGTGAATTCTTCTTCAAAGTATGTTAGATAGCCTCCAAAATAGGTTTAGGACTCCTTTTATACGAGTTGGGACCATGTAGGGTCGAAATAACCTTGTCCCAGATGAAATCGGAGTGAAACCCGTCACCTAGAACCCAGGGTAGCGTGGGGCGCTAGCCCTAGCGCTGGAAAAAGTTTGCCTCTGGAAACTGGGCCACAAGTAGCGCCCTATGCTACCTGTAGCGCTATACTGTCCCAATTCTTCATTTTGTTCCATTTTTGCTTCAACTCGTGCGCTTTCGTCCCACATTACCTCCGGATGACTCCTACACATAAAAATACCACGAATTAGCACAAATTATTAGATACACATTCAAAATTTACGAATATGAGTAAAATTCGAGGCAATATGCAAATAAATATGCACACTTTAAGCCGAATAGCAACACCCCGCACTTAAACTCTTTCTCTTCCTCGAGCAATGGAACTATAACTACACCCCCAACAACGTACATATCNCTGTAGCATATGCAATCACTTACATTTTCCATTACTTATGCCATTCTTCAAAAATATTCACAGCAAAGACAACGTGCTCATAACAATCCTAGCCTCAAAAGCCGACTCAATATCACAATGCACTCATGGCTGGAACACCCAATATAACAAAGAAGTCTCATAACGTTACTTATCCCTCTTGAAACCTTGTGCCCTCATTGCAAGAATAAGAGAGTAAGTTGAATCCACACATTCGAATCTCATGATCAAATATAATTTAAGGACTCACATCTATCAAAGAAAATCTCTCACTCTCACAAAGAAGTCACATGTATGAAAATGGTACCATAGGCTTGCCCATAATATAAATCTCTACTAATGTAGGCTCACTCGGTCTAAAATCAATTAGGACTTTATATGGTTGTAATGTGAGCTAAGGGGCGGGTAGGATATATTTAGGATTAGTATTTCACCCTCCTAAGCACTTTAACATATCACATAATAAACTTTAAACTTAAATTCTTCAATCCACTTCAATTTCACAAACAAGATCACTCCCCAAGATTATTCCCTCTTTCTTTAAGCACTACTTTACTTTATACCCCACTAGTAAGAATGAGACAACAATTTATTCATCTATATTTTTTCTTTTTTTTTCTACTATTGTTTTTCCCTTTTTAATTTCCGCTAGTGGTGTATTATTTTACAAAATAAGTGCACCCTTCTTTTTTTTTATTGGTTCCACTGGAAAGCCACCCCATACTTAGTCATTACTTCTTCTAGCGCTCATTTCACAATTAAAGTATTTTCAGAGATAACATGATCAAAATAATATCAATTAAGAACAAAAGGGTATCAACTCGTAATGTGGGTACCAAATAAAAGTCTATAGGCTCAAAAGAGTTTACTAGGGATAGATTTTATTTTGTGATAAGCACTAAAATGATCAAAGAAGGCCTAAAATTATTTTTCAAACCGAGTATCACCTAAAACTTTGCTTCAACTCACATATCAGGCAAGTTTTAAACTCAATCACAATAACATGGACTACACAAAATCTCACCGCATACATGGAACACGACTCACTAAGTACGGTCTCATTCCGACTCTCAAGATATTAAGCATTCACAGAGCCACATGATATTAAGCATTAAGCACAAAGTGAACAATAGTCAAGTAAAAGAGACATACGCGTTACAAGACATGCTATCTAATTTCATCAAGGCATCATGAATAATTTCAAACACATAGGAAATATACTCCACATGCCAAAGCCTAAATATGCTACTATCAAATAAGTCAAGGGCACCTGGGTTCATCAATCTTCCTCCTTTTATTTCCTACATTCCTAATCTACTCTAAAAATAAAAGAAACTACTACCCGATTCAAACTACATCACAAAGAAAAATCACAAGGGATTATTACTACCAAAAAAAAAAGACATGCTTTTGAATTTTTCTATTTTTCAAAAAAATAAATTGTAATATTATTTTTAGACTTTAATCCCTCAAGAAAGTTGTCCAAAAGATCCATCGTCGTGAAAAGTCCAAAATATTTTGATTTTTTTCTCTCAATTTTCGTTTTATTTTCTTTACACAAAAATTACTACACTAAGAAAGAGTACTACAATTAAGTTAGGTAACACATAAAATCACCCAGACAATCTCCTCACCCCACACTTAAAATTGTGCAATGTCCTCAATACACACTGTAAATAACAAGAGGATAAAAGAGACTCCCTGGTAGGCCAAAGGCCGAAATATTAGCAGCTCATGGGATACTCAGACTTTTCCCATGTATGGTCCTTTGTGCGAGTACCTCACACTTAGTTCCAACTGCCTGCTTGATTTTTCACATGCTTATTGGCCTTGAGTATATGCTCCTAGTCCTACAAAATACAAAAATAACACTACAAAAGTAACACAATAAAAAATAAGTAAACCAATTTTTTTTAGTAGAAATGGGTTGCCTCCCAACAAGTGCTTGATTTAACGTCGCGGCACGACGCCGTCACTTTCACAACTTTTCCTTCCACTTTGAGGATATGAATTGCGTCTCAATTTTGCATCAATTTTTCTGTCATGTTTCTGGGGCAGTGGTGTGAAAATAAAGGAACCAAGCAATAGATATCGCATCTTGCACTTTTTGGCCTTCAAGTGAGGGATGTCATTTTGTCTCCTTCGCATCACAAATTTCAGAATATATGCACTTTGTTCCTCATCCATTGACT